AACATTTTCAAATAACAGAATCCATGAATAGTAGCTTTGTTTGTTTGAGAGTACATTTACTCATAAAGATCAAGAAAATGGATTGGTCAAGAGAATTCTGCTTGTTTTGATTTTGGTATCGCTCGATTAGATTAGCTGTTAGTATAAATGTCAGTGTGGAAAGCAATAAGCATTTCCAAGACTTTAAAACGAAAGGCATGAAGTTTAAATATCTGCTCCTTTTATTTGCGCCACCAAAAAACACAACTTTTTAAATATATTCTACATATGTATAAAATCTAAATTAATTTTTCTCTCTTTATCCCTGAATACTTTTTAAAGTTATTCATGTCCTCATTATTTTTTAATCCCTTCAATAACATTTTAAAATGTATTTTCAACTTCATTAAGAATATCTTTATGTTCCACTGAATAGCTTGCCAAATAATAAAACATTAGTAGTATAATTTCCTCACAAACATTATTTAATTTGTTTGGTTAAACATAGATTTCCTACTCTCAACTCATAATTTCATTCAAGTATAATATATCCTACTTGACCTTTGCGAGGTTTTCATACCCTGTATTTGTCATTGAAATTGGTTTTTGATATTTGAACCACAAGTTTATAATTGTATTGTTGGTTAGACTGGTCTGTAGAATCCTTTGTTTTGATTCTCTGGTTTATTCATTAGACAGTAGCTGTGCTACTGTAAATTTTGAGGCCAAAAGCTTAAAACATTTTATATGTTTTAAAACAAAGTGCATGGCATTTAAATACCTATTCCTTAAAATTTGGAAGAAAGATTAACACCATACAAACTCAGAGCCTGTAGTTTTAGATTAGCAGCATGTAGACATTTTCAATTTCTTCTAAAGTTGGAAAAAACAAACATTTTGTATTCATAGAATTCTTGATAACAGAAGGTAAATACTTAACTTTCACTTAAAAGAAATTTGGTTACATCGGAAGGAAATTTGGCTAATATAAGTTAGATACATTTCTAATTAAAACAAGAATTTAAGATAAATAATGCTCAAAGAACAGTGGTCATTGCATTTATTCCAGAGAGAGGAAGTTTACCCTGATCTGGCTGTAATAACATAGTAGGTAGAACTGCTGGTGTGGACACCCAAGCAAGGAAGGGAAGCTAGTGTCTCAAGGGGTCACACTGAGACGGAAAGGGGTCAGGGCCCAGACTTGATGTCACCTGGACTCAACCACCATGTCTCAGAAGAAGAAGTTATCTTCCCCTCCTGGTGCTGAGCCAAACCAGGAGCTTGGCAGTGTTGCACACAGGGTAGTCCTTGCTGGAGACATGTGGAGATATGTTTGACAAGTTGCTGAGGTGCCTGCTGGGCCAGGCCCTTGTCATGAAATGAGTTTGCATCCTGAGGAAGGCTTTTTATTGGAAACCTGACAGGGATCCAATTTCCCCTTTGCCTTAACCCCACAGGAGCACAGTAGACAGGGAGGAGGTCATCCAGGTGGCTGCTCCTGCTTGGCCCCCACTTCCCAGACCATTCCAGGCAGGGAGAGCCACTGAGCTGACTCCATGGGCTGCCCACATGGGGTCTGGACCCAGCCACCCTCCTGTGCCTGGCTGGTAGCCCCTGGCCATCAAAGGACCCATTGTGTGGTGATCAGTGGCCCACCGCCTGCCCTTGTGGCAGGTGCAGTTTACAGGTGCTGCCCCAGGCCTGTCACAGTGGCCTTCCCAGCCTGGCACAGGAGAGGAGGCATGAATGATCCTTTCCTGTGCCCATTCAGGCCATGTGAGTTTGGACACTCACTACAGAACTCCCTCCAGGCCCCTTGTCAGCTGAATCGTGCGTGACTTGCTTAGTCCTCATGCCCAGGGTCAGGGGAGGGGTGCAGAGTCTGCACCCTAAATCCCCTAAGGCCTGAAGGCAGTCTCCCAGATGACCTCTGACCTCTCCAGTGACATGAGCCTCCCACATGGCCTCAGCCCTCTCAGGTGACATCCTTCCATGGTGACTCTGGCTCTTGCAGGAGGTGGGCTACCACAGAGACATGAGCTGTCTAACTGCCATCCTCCTCCTGTATCTGCCGGATGAAGACAACCTTCTGGGCACTGGATCAGCTGCTGTCCGAGGAGAGGCACTCCCTGCAGGGTAGGTGGTCAGCTGCCCCCAGGGCCTCACACAGTCAGGCCATGGGACAGCCACCCTGGCTGGGCAATCCTGACTTCCAGGCAAGGTACCTTCCTTGTATCCCAGCTTGTTAGGAGCCTTCAGGACATCCCTGCTGAGGGTCCACAGGAGCCCAGAGTTGAACAGGGACGCTTTCACTTCAAGGCAGACACCTTTCATCCCCAACAGCAGAGGGCACTGCGGCCTCCCCCTGGCCACCCCGTGTGTCCCAGAGCCATAGGTCTCCAGCCCTGACTTCGTACAGGTGACTGTCACTTCCCCAAGAGTCCTCCTACCTTCCAACTGGCCACACACCCAGCTGTCCTCCCAGCCCACATATGGGCCAATGAAGTTGAGACAGCAGTGTCTGCGCATCCCATGTCTCCCAGCCCCACCCTAAGTCCAGAAGATGGCCACGTAGCCCCCCTGGCACCCACCCCGTTCCCTCCACTGGCCACTGCCTGCCTCTGCCCTGCCTCACAGCCTCGAAAGCAGGCCTGCCCTCCCGGCACCTCTACCCAGGATGCTGCCGTGCAGTGCCTCCAGCTAGGGCCCACTTCCCTAGAGCTGAGGCCACATGGTAGGGTCGCCTGATGGAAGGGAGGAAGGCCTCAGGGTCCGGGGTCCCCTGCCACTGCCCAGTCCTTCCAGCTAACGGCTCCACACCTTGGGAGTGGGCTCTGATGCATGATGGGTCGGGGGCTTCTCAGTATTCTATAGCCCCAGTACTGCCCAGCTCTGGAGGCTCCTATCCCACCAGGAGCAGGTATTACACAAATCCTTTCCAAAGATCATGCGGCACCTGCTGAGTGGATGACACCTTCACCTCTTTCTCAGAGGCCCAGGGTCCCATGGGGCAGGGAAACAGGGAAGATGGAGCTCCTCAAGGGGCTGACAAGAGGCTGAGTCCCAGCCAGGGCCTCAGTCAAGATGGGGATTCTCCATGGGTTTGGAGTTGGGTTTTCTTTACCTGCCCTGGAGGAGGAGGCAGAGGTCCTGGGACGGGGGCTGAGCTCCAGCTGAGCAGGGTTAAGGGAAGTGTGTACACCAGGCATCTGTGCATGGGGAAGATGTTGGGGAAGCACTGGCCACTGCCCAGTGTTCTGCCCCAGGGCAGCTCAGGGAGCCCTGAGCACCTATGCTCCTCCCTTCAGGACCAGGAAAGACCACACATTGAGGTTTGCTGAGTTGGCTCCTCTGGTGTTTCACTGATGGGGTAAGGAGGCACAGGGAGACCCCAGTCCAGGGACCCTCCTGTCCCACAGTTCCCAGCTCCCCCAAGAGGACCTGGCTCACCCCCAGCCCACAGGAAGCACA